GAGATTTTCTTCAGATTGCAGATATCAATGCCAGAAATATTATTACTGTTTCTTTAAACAATCCCAGCTGAGAGTTAAATCATGTAGGAAAATTAACAAAATCACCTGAGAGATTAGATATGGAAAAGAATTAGAATCTTGAGCCTCTCCTGTTCATCTATAGACAACAGAACTAGGTTAAATGAAATTATCAACCAGAAGTTACCAAATTTTCAGTAACTATTCTAGTACCATTGAGGTTAGATAAACGGCAGCATATCAATTAGATGATTCTTCTTCACAAGACGAGATGTTTGTATTCACATGTTATTCTTCTAAGATAAAATTATGCCCAGACACCTACTTCATTATGTAAACTACTTGCTTCCACAGCCAACCCCCACTTTTCCTGCCTTTTGATTCTAATTATGGTCTTTTAACCAGAGTAAACTAATAGAGGGTGGCAATACATGGAGGTAAATGCCAACCTGGCAGGGACCCATGAATTAAGTTCTTAGCCACCCAATTTTGTTGATCCAGTGATATCCCTGATCATGCTTCCATTATTTTATGGGTAGATCATATCCACACATTTTCATTGAAGAGAGGAAACGGGTGGCCCAGAAAGGAAACCCTGTATGCCAGGCAACACCATATATAGAATGAATGTGCTATCAGTGAGATGAATCTAGTAATAGTAGGGTAACGGTAAATAGCAACAAAAACTAACTTGAGAGCTCTATAAGAACATGATCAAGAGACAAAATCACACATCTGACAGCCTTGATATCAAGGAATAGAAATAGATTCATGCAGAGAAACCCCAACTACCAAGGGCAAGTCCTTATTTAGGTAAGAAAAAGATGGTCAAATTGGATAATATAAAGATAATGCAAGTAAGCAAAGCATTGATCTCTCAGATTAGCTTTAAGATACAGTGGTCTTACCACTACTAAGGTTAATGATTGCAAGAGTAAGCATGGATGTGGCTTGCGGGACATGTCTGAAAAGCTGGACTCCAACTTTACCTTCAAGCACAACGTAAAACTAATCTTTCCATCGAATGTAGTCCACTTGATTCTTTAAATTAATCCATCTATTGATATGCTGGTGGCAATAATCTAGCATCCTCTGTGCAAGTAATGTCCACCAGTTAATAATGAACTTCTTGGATCTGTACAGGAAACTTAAGAAATTATGTTTTAAATTGGAAGTGCTTGCAGGATTATGATTAAGAATACCTCTTCAAGTAATGCAATAGAATGTCTCAGATTGTCTCATTAGTGAATTATTTGATTATTCATCTCATTTATGGTTCTATTTTAGTTTATGGTTCTATTTTTCAAGTCATCTTATAGATGAATTACCATCTCTCAGACCCAGCCTGCCTCAACCTCTTCCTTATTTCCCATGAACAGAAAAAGAACTGTCAACATTAGAAATGTAAGGGAAAATGACTAGTCCTTTTCATAGAGTCTAGACCTTTCTCTTAGGATTGGACCACCATTTTCTCATCTATATATATGACTCGCAACTAACACTATCATTCCGATTTGAGGAATTCCTTATCAAGTCCTCTATAACCAGAGATCTCAAATAGCTAATTCAGAAATAATAATAATAATTGAGAAGGAAAATGGTGGGCATGTTTTCTGCTTACATTCTATACCTTTTCTATTTTTTATTTTGCGCCCAACCTTCCCATTAATGGTGTGGTCTTTGGTTGATTCATATGCAGGATGAAGCACATCAGTTAAACATATGGGAAGGTTATGTAGACTGGAAAAACAAACCAGCCAAAAGAGGTCTTCATGGTGGCATGCTTGCTGCCTCCTTTGTCCTGGGTAAGTAGAGCTCTAACAACTTACAATATTTTCTTTTTTCAGTATTTCATGTGCTTTATTATAAAAGGCAGTGTGATCATTCTAAACATGTCAGTGTAACTTCAGCAAAGAAGAAACTGTCAGAGGATTATTATATTTATATCTGTGGTATTATATATATCATCAAAGATTATGAAACAAACTCAGAATGAATTTCTTATATTGTTGTGAACCTTAGTTGTGGAAATTCTGGAGAATCTAGCATTCCTGGCGAATGCAAGCAACCTTGTGTTGTACCTGTCAAGGTTCATGCATTTTACTCCATCCAGCTCTGCAAATATCGTTACCAATTTCATGGGCACAGCGTTCCTTCTTGCTCTTCTCGGTGGCTTTCTGGCAGACGCTTTCTTCACCACCTACCACATCTACTTGATTAGTGCTGCAGTGGAATTCATGGTAAGATTCTAAAGAATGATTATGCTTCAATTTTGTATTCATTACTATCACATGATAAGATGCAATGTTTGTTTTGTGAATCCAATTAAATAGTCATGCTTTTTATTTTTTTCTAAGCACTTGCTATGAACCTTTAGTCCCACCACACGTGGCACCACCAATTGATTTATGTCTGTACTATATCTTAAACTGAACTGTGTGTTCACATTGGCATCTTCTTCCAAGAAATGTCATGTGCAGCAGCAGTTGAGCTTAAATTGATAGGAGGAGAACAATTTATTGGGTCCAATTTGTTTTCAACCTCAAAGAGGAGAATTAGAAGAGTAGGCGACAAGAAGGATTAAAGTACCTCAGAACCCACATCTGCACCCACCTATTTGATTATGAAGTAGCACAACAGACAGAGCAAGTGGGGATAGAAGTTGGGCAAGAGAGGACCCAGTAGGGTATTCTCAGGTCCCTTTTGAGCATACCGTTACAAGAAGGAAATAGGCAAGAGGTGGTGGACTCACCACTGGAATATCTATTGGTTCTTTCAAGTCAGACAACAATCATATACTGACTCATCAATAGAAGGCATGTGCTAACCAAATAGAACATATCCTGATCAGCTCTAGATATACATGGTTTAGCCTTAACTTTGCAATTTGTCCTACTTATCTATCATATCAACATAATCAAGACGAAATATGAGCAAATCCTATAATAATATGAGATCAGAAAGAGAGGATAAAATTCAAAGTATGCCCTCTATTAGCAGTGTCCAACCACACTTCTCACTGACCTGGGTAGGCCCAACAGTTTCACTAAATAATGTGTGATCTCGGTAGAAGGAAATAAGGTCGACATGGTGTAGCATGTGATAAATTGATCAGCAATAGCAATAACTGAGTCAATCGAAATGAAAATGATGAAAACTACATAAAATTAAGAGTCTCAACATTCCAGTTCTAGGTTCACGAAACCAACCAATCTTTGCATGGCTATTGTGACCAGAGTCAACTCGATGCTCTATGAACCTTGTTCTGCCTTTTCTAAGGATTCATGAGTGATTAAAAGTGCATTCTTGAAATTCCAATAGATTGAAGGTAAAAGATCATCAGTGGTATATAGATAATATATTCCAAAGTCCAACTATAGGTTTTGTGTTAAGCATACCAATCTTGACAGCTATGACAACCAAAAAAATTTGAATGCTCCATGAAACCCTGGTTAATCCATTCTAAGAACTCATAATTGAATCTTGAACTCGTATACCATCAGAGATTGCTTAATTTTATTTTATATCTCAACTAACCCATAAGCAATGGAACAGGGTCTGCTAATACTCACATGCCAATCTCATATACATTCATTGGAACCGGCAACATGTTTGAAGACAAATGCCAGCACTTTGTGCCAGGAAGTTAATGGCCAGAATGCAGTGATTTTGTTTGCAGGTCTCTATTTAGTAGCTCTGGGAGTTGGAGGAATTAAAGGTTCACTGCCCGCACATGGAGTTGAACAGTTTGATGAAACCACCATACAAGGAAGGAAGCAGAGATCAGCATTCTTTAACTACTTTGTTTTCTGCCTTGCGTTTGGGGCACTAATTGCAGTAACTATTGTGGTTTGGGTTGAAGACAACAAAGGCTGGAAGTGGGGACTTGGGATCTCCACTGCAACAATACTCATCTCCATCCCCATTTTTCTCCTTGGTTCTCCTTTTTACAGGAGCAAAGTTCCTGCAGGAAGCCCGATCACAACCATGTTTAAGGTAAATTTCAGATAAACAAGAGCATAAGAGCACTACATGTTCCAAAGCTAAAGTCTTGCTAAGTAATCCCGTTTCATTCATTTCCTACAGGTCCTGGCTGCAGCAATTTACAACAAAAGCAAACCAAGGACTTCTAGCAATGCTGTCATAGGCACAGAGACAAGTTCATCCCCCAGAACCGAGACAAGTAATGGAGAAGATACAAATACCAAAGAAATGGGGCCAAGTCAAAATCCTAGAGAGGGACTCACATTCCTCAACTCGGCATTGACCAAGAAACCTATTCACCCTATGTTACAATGTACACAACAGCAAGTAGAAGACATCAAGATAGTACTAAGGATTATACCCATCTTCATGTCCACCATCATGCTAAACTGCTGCCTTGCTCAGCTCTCCACTTTTTCTGTTCAGCAAGCAGCCACCATGAATACAAAAATCGGTTCCACAATTGTCCCACCAGCTTCTCTCCCTGTCTTTCCTGTCATCTTCATCATGATCCTTGCACCAGTTTACAACCACATTGTTGCCCCATTTGCCAGGAAAGTAACCAAAACCGAAATGGGAATCACTCATCTACAGCGAATTGGAATGGGGCTACTTCTCTCAATAATAGCCATGGCAGTGGCAGCTCTTGTGGAAATAAAAAGGAAGAGGGTGGCAGCAGAATTGGGACTAACTAATTCTACCAAACCACTACCAATCACATTTCTTTGGGTAGCTTTGCAGTACTTATTCCTTGGATCAGCTGATCTTTTTACCTTAGCTGGGATGATGGAGTTCTTTTTCAATGAGGCTCCATTAAGCATGAGGTCTTTAGCCACAGCTCTCTCCTGGGCATCTCTGGCCATGGGATACTACCTAAGCTCAGTTCTTGTATCAATAGTCAATGGCATTACTAGTGCCTATAGACACACACCATGGCTCTTTGGTAGCAACTTGAACCACTATCATCTAGAGAGGTTTTACTGGCTAATGTGCGTACTTAGCGGATTAAACTTCTTACACTACCTATTTTGGGCCAGTCGCTACAAGTACAGATCAACATGGCCTATGAACTGAATATGTTACGACCACAAACAGGTAGTTTAAGTGTCTTTCTATATATTTTTCCATGTCAATTAAGTCTGTAACTGTTTCTTACTTGAGTTGGGTCTTCAATGAAGCGAATTAGAGAGATATTGAAAGAATATGCTTTCCACTTGGTAACCATATCCAACTACTCAATATCACACGAAAACACCACCATTCAACTCTTTGACTACGTGACAAAATCCCCGTTCCTCAATACAAACTATTATGTTTCCTTTGGTTCATGTCCCTGTTAATTACTAGTCAATTGCTAGTTCTAACTTTCACATTAGCCTTAATATACATAATTAGAAAACTTTTTGTGGTTGAGTTACCACCACCACCATCTTAAATTTCTTGATTGTGAGAATTCAACTCCTACCTTGAAAGGTGGGAATTGAATTCCAGAGTAAGGAATTCTAGTTGGGAATATGGTAACTAAAAAAAAATTATGTTCTACTTATGCATGTTAAGGCTAACGTAAAAATTAGAATTAGAAATTGAGTAGGAATTAAAAGAGAATTGAACCAAATGCAACCATAGAGTTATTAAAACTGAACTTCAATTACCAGAACAAGTTTCAGATAGCAGTAACAACAAATCTGCATTTAATGCTCTAGGATATTCTATCTACATTAAAGAAAAACAACCACAAAAGAAATATGGCTGCAAAGTTACACTCCCTATGGGTCAGATCCAGAGTTATGTTTGATAAAGTAATACGAGCCTCAATATGGCAAGCATGGATCCTTACATTTCTATATCTCCTAAAAACTTATCGCCAGATCGCTGTTAGGTGAAAAAAACAGATAATTAAAATAATTTTTTACCCATCAGGAAGGAGATAAAAAGTTACTGAAAAACATGGGCTAGCCGAAAACATATATATATATATAGATACACAGAAAATAAATGTTGAATCCGAGTTACACTGAGTTCCTCGAGGAGAAAACCCACAGTGAAGCATATTGATATAGTAATGGCCGCCTTCCATATGATATGGCCAGCTAAAATTAACCACGCAAATACATGGGACTGATTACTACCACTGAATATACGCAATTTATTCATCGAAATATTCATCATAAAAACTGGCATAGACGCATTGCAATGAACAAAGCTCATTAAGAAAAGGAAAAATAAAAAAGAAGAAACAATAATTTCACCCAACGCTATGATTGTACCCCAAAATAACTCACCACTTCACCAAGCTCAATCACGATCTTAATTAAGTACCGGTCAATATAGGATCTTCACTTCTACGGGTCCCAACAAATAAATGTGCATATTCTTCCCAACTTTTCACGGCAACCAAACAGGGAATTGATTTTTCTCAGCCATGCTTGAATTGTGACCCTAAGGTGATTAAACATCAGAAAAAGATGGAGAACACAAAGCAAGGCGATAAAAAAGGGAAGGAAAGACCTGAGAAAACCTGGCAAACCAAGTAAAACGTACAGAACCACCATGGAAATGGCAGAGAACCAAATGCACCTCTATAAACGAAAACTGAATCACTCGAAGAGGAGATGCAGATTTTTCTAATCTTACAAATCCATGTTTGGTTAACTTCCACGAGACGGAACTGAACAATGCAGCATGGGGAAGAGACGAGCCGTTCCTCATATTTTCTCAGTCTGGTGATATAACGTTAACGGTTAATATAGAAATTATATGTTATTTTATTTATTAATTTAAATTTAAATAATATTTTATTTTTAATTAAATTTAATTTATATTTATTTTTTATACGATGTAATTAGTAAAAATTTATTTTAAAAAAATTTAATTCATCATTTTTTTAAATTGTAATAAATTATTTTTAAAAAATTTAATTTTAATATAAATTTATTTTAAAATATTTTAAATTATCAAAAAAATAAATTAAATAAATAAAAATTTAAATTTTATTCACATAAAAAAAAATCTCATCGTTAAAAAGAGTTCATTTTCATTGAAATTTTTAACTTATTATTTATTATTTTTTATTTTATTTTAATTATTGTATAAGAGATTTTTTTAACTAATTACTATAAAGGATTTAAGATTGTAATTTATACAAGGATTAATCGTAATATTTGAACTCAAAAATCAAATCAGAATAATTTTTTTATTTTTAATAAATTATATAAATAATTAATTTATTTTATTTTATTTTAATTTTATTAAATTTAAAAAAAAATTAAAAACAAGATGTTAAATCACCAAAAAAAAAAGTTTAACCACGTAGGACAGCTCGGTCAACAGTCCCGGTGAACCAGAGAATGCCACGTGGCAACCCTGCTGACATCGGCATCACGTTGGAGATCATGCGAGCGATCCGCGTGTCCGACAATTTGATGGTCCATATCTCATCATGCGCGCGTGAACGGTCCAAATACATTCTCTCTTTATACGCGATCGAACAATTAGATTCAATTCGATCATGTGGTCCAAATTCATTATCCAAATAAAATAGATCCAATGGATGAAAAAATGTCACGTATTCCTGAACGGACAGTTCAGATCGACACATGGTGGGTCTTTAAGCATCTTATTCCAAGGGACTCTAACCCTAGTCGTACCAGTCCTCGCTAGAGAAGGAGGACCAGACGTCGGAGAATGAGACCGACCATCGGCCGCCAACATACTAGAGCCACTGCTGACCGTCGAAAAAGGTAAAATTTTCTCTTTTCTACTTAAAATTCAATTATGAATCTCCCTGTGGCTATATCAGAGCAAAAGGGATGACAAATGAACCGAAAATCTCAAGAAAAACCCGACAGAGCTGCCGTGGCCAAAACCCAAAATCCTCTCTGATGACTCCCTTCCCGTTTTTCATTTCACACGATTCTTAACCACTGTGTTCACTGTCTCTTTCTGGTACAAGTTAGCCAAAGAAGAACCTTAGTCACGAAGGAGGATCGAAGGAACCGTCGCACCTGGAGACCTCGCCCCTTCCCCCCTCCCCCATTAGTAGGTTTCAGTTTTTTCTTTTTCTGGCCAACCAAGGCTTCCTAAATGTTTTTTCGTATGGATACGTGTAAAACTGGTCAAAACCAGGCAGATTGAGATGAATCGCCGCCGTGGGCGGCAAAGCTGGCACTAGAGTGCGACGGCGCCGTCGTGCTAGAATTCTAACATATGTCGTAAAGGTTTTTCAACACCAATTTTAATTTTTTGGGATATTTTTGGGTATATAACGGATATTTTAATTTTCACAGAAAAAATTTAGGAAATCTGGAGATCGTTAAAAGGTGTAATATATGACACGACATTTCGAAACACCGATACAGATAAGAATCTCTCATCCTACTCCCTATTACGGTAAATTGAAGTTTAATAATCGAATATTTTGTATTTATAAAAAATTAAAAAAAATCCTAAAAATAATTACAGATCATTAGTGAAGGCAGAAACTAGTTAGTATACGATTGCCCTAA